AGATATGTAGTACCAATGGGTAAACCAAATAACAAAAATTCATCTACAAATTTGCTCACACAAATATACCTTGCACTGGTGCAATCTGTGCTAGGATATTGTATTCCGGTTTGGGGAGGTACAACTAAAACGAAACTCATACATCTAGAACGAGCACAACGTGCACTCTTAAAGATTATGCTTTTTAAAAAACTTAGGTTCTCTACTGTGGAACTTTATAAGACCAGCGATGTACTCTCTGTCAGAAAACTGTACATAGTTCGGACAGTATTAAAAAAGCACAAGTCTTTGCCCCTTAATGTGGGTATTGCCTCGAAAAGAAGGAAGTTTGATATAGCGGATATACCTTCAACTAAAACCAGATTTGGATGTATGCAATATAATAAACGTTCAGCTCAATTATATAATAAAATAAATAAAAAGATACATATACACAACAAAAAAACCCATGACTGCAAAGAAACAGTAGTTAAGTGGATAAAACCACTTACGTACGAGGAGACAGAGGCTTTGTTATAACACGAAATGATAAACATACACAACCTATCACACACATCCCATCACACAACATCACACACCCTCACATACACACACAACACTCACATACATATCCTCACAAACACACATACACCCATCTTAAGTATTATTCACTGTTTAATTTTAAGTTCAATGTTTTGTTAAAATAAATAAATATTGTGTTAATTATCACGCTGTGCTATCGGGGAGAAGCGGAATCGTCTACTACAGGCATTATTTGTCTAAAAGATGATTCCGAACACAAATCTTTGTAAACCAATTATTTGACACAATAAACTTTATTTATTATTATTATTATTATAACATGAAACTACAGATAGTCTACTATCAGCTATGAGCAATGCAGTCTACATAATATATCCGGGTCGGTTGTTGATAAGTGACGGATGAAACCAACTGACGCCGACTACTCAGTCCACAGTTTCACAAATTAATCGGATCATGAACGCGCCCTTTGGACAATAACACATTAGTAATCAACATTCAAGGTTTCACTGCATTTTGAAACTCTAGTCTTTGTCAATCTTCTAACACTGTATCATAAGTCTTTGTTCTAATTGTTTCATATGTTAATTAATGTTGCGTTTTATCAACTCAATGTCATTTAATTTCTTGTATTGTAGTTTCTTTGTACCTCTATTATTTTGACAACATTTCTTGTGACTTCGCAATGCAGCCATTGTTTTTAATGCGAAAGTGGGTGGATGTTATATAATTAGTTCTAACACGTGATTGATGTGAAATTTTCACTAAGGTTCAGCCGCACACGTGTCTGCCGGCGTGCTTGTGTGCAATGAGACCTTGTGGCTGTTTTCCCGCCGTTTACTTTACAGCGAGCTACTCTACTGGCACTAGTTCTCTATTGCAAATCTTCCGCGTGAGGCATGCAACAAGCAGCCATGTTTATTAAACAAATACGTTCATGTATGAATTGGTCTGTGCAGTGTATTGTACAACTATAATTATGACTAGGTAATCATAGTATAGACACCAAATATCTATGCATATCCACTCACTTTAGGTAATACTTGAAATTCAAGAGGAGTCTCCTCAATTTCATAATTTTAATGTGGCTAATTAATTTGTTACCGAGCGACTTTCAACAATTCTTTGGCCTTTGTTCAGATTTTTGTGTTATCGTTACAATTATTAATGCTAGCTAGTCTAATTAACCAACTTAATGGAGTAATAATTTTGCTTTAAAACCAAAATCTGTTAGGCTTAGACCTTCTTATTCAATGTTTTGCAACTTATTTAGTAGATAGCTAGTTAAGAGATAACAAGTGATATAAAGACTATTTAATGCATTTGTTATTGTCCGATAACTAGCTTAACAACAAATGCAATATGTTTAGTTGCAAATATGTGATAATTTATAGAGTGGCTGGCATTGAACGGAGTCACTGTTTATCTACACTCCACGATATTTGCGCGTAAACACCACGGTAGCGATCAACACAAATAAATTGTTATCGGAAATATTCATACATGATGCGTAGGTAGTCTGTTAAATTCCTGAAAAGGTAATAAACAAACAACAGTGATGGTTCTATTATTTTAGGCAAAATGAAGTCGAAAACTATATACAGTTATACTGCACTAGGTTATTTCTAAAGTCCCATCATCCCTCTATTTTAAGAACCTATGATAAATTAAATTTATTGAGAATAACGACTTACTCACGTGGACATCATGAACAAGAGTCCCGTTTGTGACTTGAAACTAGTAGAGCTTTTGTCGCCGAGTCGTTATTTTCAATAAATTTAGTAGGTACGTATATCTCACGATAGTTACTACAGAAAAAGTCAAAAATCATTTATTTCAATTAGACCCTTACAGGCACTTTTGAAAGTCAAACAAAATTTAAAGCTGTCCTAGCTAAGTAGCTATCCATCCCCTAAAACACAAACTTTCGTGTCTGAACCAGCTACATGTTACCTACAACAGCAATTACCGGGACCGACTACAATTATTTAACTTTTTAACTTTAACACCACACTACACTGTGACCCAAACGTTCTCATGACCTATAAGCTCTTCATAGAGCGACTAGACCACCAAAAAAATGGGACCTTATAGGGTCGATGTTCAGCCGAGTGTGCTGATAGAAAGGAAATAAAACCGCGGTCCCAGCCTATAGCAGAAATAGGAACGGATTGAATTAATTCCCTTCCCACAAGAATACTTTTCTAATGTATTGTTTACACCGACAATTTAAAAATATAACGGTCACTAGTGATGTTCGATATATAACAGTTATCTCGTTACGATAACTGTTGAACTTTGGCATCGTCGCGCGGCTTATCTCGCCCTTCCCGAGGCAGATTCCTATAATAATATTATGTTTATGAACAGAGGAAATTGTTTTATCTCTGGACTAACGAGAGATAACTTGGTGACATTACAACTGGTGGGATCGGACACATCATCGTTGAACTATTCAACATGATAAATTATGTATTTTTAGAATTAATAGATAAATAATATATGTTGTTTTACTAGTATTTACTTTGATAAACATCGCATCATTGGTTCTGTGGCAGCAATCAAGCCAATAGGAATTTTAAATATGAGTGCAAAGAGTTCGTTTCACTTTGTAAAATGCGTGAGGAACCTAGCTAATGAATCGGGGGGTAGTGTCGTAATTATATGTAGGTAGGTACATGAGACTTTTAAAAGACGAATGTTCATAGGTAACTTTCCAACGAACAATAAGTTAATAAATATAAAAGAAACTTCCTAAGAAATACAAAAACAAAATCACTATTAATCTTCCTTTATGGCTTAACAAAGCGAAAATTTCATGAAAAACCCTCAATAACACTTTTAACTAATAATTCATTAGTTATACAATGAAAGCAAACGTTAATACCTAAGTGCAAACGGTTATCTACCTTATTTATATTATATTATATAAGTTTATTTTTCATTGTCACTGTACGTATTAGTATTAATTACTATTAGATACTTATAGGTTACTAAGTATTTAAGTGCCTTCAAACAATTATTATTTTTTATTGTACTTTTACTAAGTATTTGTAATTCCATGGTTTTGTTCGATTGTTCTTTCAAACCGAAATGAAATATGAGAAAAAAACAGATTTAACTACTAAATTGAGTATAGGGATAAAGTTCAATTCACTAAGTATATTAGAATCAATTATTAGTTTTCTAACTAGAGTTTTTTTTAAGCGTCTTTAGAATAGTTTTTTGAAAAGGAATGGAAAGTGGAGCTCTCTTAAGTATGCGATTAAAATGTCCATCTTGAAGGTAAAACCACTTAAGGTAGATACTTTATATGAATTGTTAAATTTATTTAATTAATGTATGATTAAGGGCAAGAATGATTTACATCACTATGGTCAAGGCAATTTGGCTACTGTTTCAGTTAAGAGTTTAAACTTGTACCTAACTTATACCTATGTATGATATAAAAGACCTACAATTACTCGCATATAGGTAGGGTAAATAACACTTGACATAGACGGTCCACATCCTCCGAAACAACAGGCAAAAATACGTAAGTTATGTAAAAAAAATAAACAATATCTAACACTCTCTAGGACATAGTCATAGAAGTAACTTAGTAATAAAATATTACCTACAGTTAAAATCACTAATTGTTATTATTTTTAGTAAATGAATCGTAACTAGCATAAAAGAGTTTACTCTATTATGGTAACCTTTAGGTTAAAGAGCCTATTTAATGAATTTCTATTTTAGTGTTACAGCAAAAAGTGATAATGACGCCTCTAGCACGGTAGATACCTGCTAAAACCGTGACCCTAACCTCTTCAGCCTACGTAGGACTTGCCAAACTATTGTTTATGACAGATTATCAGAAAAACATAAAAATAGCAAGCTGAAAAAAATTACATAACTGTCTATTTTCGTCACTTGAAAAACAAGTTTTTAGAATAGGGTCAAACTCAACTTAAACGTACACAAAAATGAGGTCAAATATGTAAATACTTATACGCCGTGCACAAACAAACATAAAGAGGCGCATCATAGTTAAGTAGATTATAATCACTGTTTATGATCCTTGGTATAAAACGCGTAATAAGCGAGGTCTAGGACAAGTCCGACGAAATCAGTCGTTAACCGTTTGTAATTGAAGTTGCCAAACATCACCACATTATGTAGTTGCCGAGTTACGCAAATTTAGTAGGCTGTAACAATATGACCTGCTTAACCTACGCTCGAATGTCTGTTCAAGATGTCGACCGGCTCAATCAAACATTACTATTAAAGGAAATCGTAGTACAATAATTTATTGATTAAATTACATATTTAAAGAGTGTAACCTAGTTTTATGTAGTGCAACGTCCGCGATTCGCAAATAATCCAACTTAACACTTGTTTTAATCGCACGCGTCGTGATGAGTACAGCTTGTCATTAAAATAAACAAAACAACTACCGGAAAAAAATAGATCAGCACAAAATATTGAGATAGACTTACAAGTGCGATCGCGCTCTCTGGGTACCATTTGCAAGGGCGCAGGAAGATTGTGAGCAGCTCGTCATCATCTCCGAAGTGTAGGTCCTTGTTCTCTTTGAGCAGCTCCCGCAGTCTCTCTAGGGCTTCACGCACCCTCTCTGGAGTCTCCCGTAACTCCTGTTCTGCAATAGCTTTCGTCTCTGGCGACAACTCAACGCTGCGCTCCAATCTGAACTCGTTTGAACTCATTTTTTAAACTGTAACAACGAAAACAGTTCATGTAAAACAAAATGCATGTTTACCTACAAAGTTTCCAAAATAATGTAAAACCTAAATTGATTAGATAAAACGTTCACACTAATTATTCTTAAAGAGCATCGTAGCAGCCGGTGTATGTTGACATGACACTGGCCACAAGGCAAGGACTTATTGTGGATTCATATCACGGAGCGCGGGAGCACGTGTCACCGACTTCACGTTTAAAAACACATCATTGCGTTGGAGATCGATTGCACAAATCTATTGAGCACTAGCCATTGCTAAAATGACCTGCCGGCCCATAACTTTTTACTGTTAATAACTTTAAATCTAGCTATGCCAGTACAGCAGTACATAAAGTTTTGTAATAACAGAATATCGCTATTGATTACACTACTCAAATAAAACTTTACCTACATAAGTTCCTCTCTGACCAATCTAGCGAAACTTGTCCTCATAGTCAAAATACATAGGAAACTAACAATATAATCACGTCTTCTTTAAAATGTAAGTATCGACGAAATAATTACTTAAGTACATCGACGGACACAAAGTAAATATCAAAAGTCAAAAGTTCTGTTTGTCTATTAGCGGTCACGTTGTTCATTTATGTCCTTATCAACTAAATAGCTTTTATGAGATTGTTGTACTTATGTAAACAATACAATTGTTATATAAAATGTTCCTCCACTGAAGAGCTCTTAGAAATATCTATTTGCTATTTATCTAGAGTTCAATCAACTCTACACGAGTACATAATTGCTCTAGATAAATCGCTTACTTAATTACTATTAATATGTACCGGTACTTAAGTCTCCTACAAGTCTAGGCGTATAAGTAATAGCTGATTGTTGTTTTTTTACTTATTCAAATTCAATCTGCTTACATCGCGTTCAAAAAAATACTATCACACATCATTATCTTATTATCGACTCGTAATTTTGCTAACTTATCTTTTTTTTAATAAAAACGAATTAGTAGCTAGTCGCAAATTTCTTACGTCAAGGATTAACTATTTATTAAGAGCACTGGTAATCGACCAATGGTGGTAGCCGAGCACTATTTGTTGAATGCATTATTTTAATAAATACTTCTTTAAGGTATTCTTTATGGGATCGGGCAGCAAAGGTGCAGGCGGATCAAGATCGGAGTCACATAATGGTAGGGAAGGGATAGTTACAAGTGCCTTGCCTACTTTTAGTGGTTTAGGGATTTGAGGTTGAGGGATGAGGGAATTTGGAAATTGGGAATAGATAGGGAGGATTGGGCATCTCCCCAAGTGTGATAACCTCACTCACTCATGAAGCAAGACAAAACGTAAGCGTTGTTTTACGACGGTTTTCTGTAAGGCCGTGTTTATACTACGGAAAAGTTATACCTTTTGGGCACTTCTCTCCCGCACACTTTAGGTAAGAAGACTAAAGAATGATTGTGGTGAAAATAAATCGATTTTTAAGAGCTAATTAATGGTTGATTTGAATTATACTCTGTTAAATTCTTACTTGAGGTGGTAACGAATAAATTAAATGAAAACATCCTGACTAAACTATTGACAAGGAGTTTAAACTTAAAGTTCTTTTTTCAAAAAATCACACCGAAATGCAACTCATAAATACTTAAAATGAATATAAACACTACAAAATTAATATGCATTAAAAAAATATATCAATTATTTTTTCCACACCTAAAAAATCAATCCCGTATTTGAGACAATTAAACAAATGTTTATTTAAAAAAAACTCTTTGTGAATAATTATTAATTACAAACGAAAATCCATAAAAAACTCCACAAAACGGTACCTACATGCACAACTAAGAGCACTGCACAATTTTAAACACAGCTGTTGCAGTTCAAACCTTCAATGAATGTTTCACTAATAAAAAAACTGTATTGTAAAAATGCACTAACCTCACTCGCGTAGTATCACGCGCCGGTGGAAATCACAAAGGGCGGAAAATCGATCGTGCGGCGGGTGAGAGGCGTAAGCGAGTGTGCGCGCGCGCAGCCAGCCAGCTGTTATATAGACACGATAAGCGCACACGCTTACTTCGTGCCCCAGCATACCGCCTTACAACTTACACAGCGTTTGCAAACAATTTGAAAATAAGCGCTTCAAAGTTACAAAATTGTTATTGTAAAATATTTTTCAATAATTAAATTTTTAAGGCATTTTCTTGGTACTGCGTATTATTGTGCGTGATTAACCTGAAACCTTATTAAAATTATGAAATCTGTTTTTTTTTCAAAAATCAATTCTTATTTTTCTAAAGAATAAGTGCATACAATTACTTAGGTACTACTTAACTAGGTACTTATTGATTAGGTACCTAATCCATGGAATTTTTTTAAGTTGTTGGAAAAATAAACAAAACTTTACATGGCGTTTGAGTAGCCAAAAACAGAAATCGGTTGTTATTGTAATAACATAATGGACATTAAATAACTGAATACCACCAACAGACTGTACCTACAATAATCCTTTGCTAATCTAATTAATCTTTGGCAAATACGACGTAGGTCAGTGACCTGACAATGATTTCTGAATCCTCACACTAACTCACAACTCTGAGACAGTACCTGTAGGTACTGACAGGCAAATTCAAAAGTGTGTTAGTCTAGCTTCTATTACGAAACACTAAAAAAGGATTACTAAGCAATTTATAAAGTAAAAGTGTATGAAATGACTTAATTATTATGTAATACTATTATACTATAAATAACTCTATGTTAGCTAAATACCTACAAGCTTCAGGCATTACGTTGTATATAAAATGATTAGATAGTCCATTTTACCTTTACGTTTGCGAAGACAAGTAAAATTGTCATATTTAGTTGATATCATAAGCTATACATACCTAAGTTGCACGCAACCAAGGTATCTATGTTAGAAAAAACATAATGCCCTGCCTTGGATTGGCAAAGATTAAGGATATATTGTTTACGCAGATTTCCAGAAATACAGCATCAACATACATTATGTCGATAAGTATTTACACCTATGTGCGTGCCATCTCATTAAATATCTCTTATGAAGAGTATCATCACTAAAGGTATGATTTTATTAGATATCCACCCCCTCTTGCTAATGAAACTTAGCTAGGTACATGTTAAATGTAATAAGTTTTAGCATCTTAAACTTCCTACTCGTAATATTTTTTCTTATTAGGCATTTCTTGCTGAAAAGCAAAATATATTGAAACGTACCTAAATTTTTTTAGGTTTTACGCATTCAGGTTTTTTGTTTTATAGAATTTTCTTACACATGCCTACATCATACTTACGTGTAAGACTACGTAGATAGATATTGTTTACTAAACCGGTAAATTCAGAATAACCTTTGAATCTCCTTCACCGTATTCAATATTTGGCTAACTTTTTCGGATTAACAATAGCCAACTTTTTATTAGCACCAAATTAGTAATCTAAGCACGCAATAGGCAAATGATATTGACAACACAGTGACATAATAATTGATTCCATCAATATTTTTTTCTGTGGCTCATGTTTCCCTGCCTCTACATCAGCAGTCCATAGTTCACAGATCAAAGATATATAGCTATACAGTGTATAAGAAAAGAACAATGTCCATATACGTGACTCATGTACTTAGGTACTGGATGCACACAAAGGGACATTTGTCGTCAGGGTGTCAGAACAGTGGTGCTGCCTTTGTTCACTACGGCTGCCTCGTGCTTGAAACACAAAATATGATATAATAAATGAAGCAATCAATCGATTTCTTAAGTTTTCTAAAGAATGTGAATCATGAAACTGTTGCAAATAACAGCTGTCCGCTAGGTCGATCCCTTTGTTTAATTTTCCTAACAACTAACTTAGAAGGCAGGTATTACTTACATAGTTTTCCTTGTTTTCTTATGAAAACAGTTAATAAGTAAGTATTAACTTATTAAGCTTAGATTTTATAGTCCATATACTTTGAAAATCTTAACTTAACTTACTTAAACCCTCAATTAAAATAATGTTCCACCAAAACATTAACATTTCGAATTCGATGAACAAAGAATATGTAGATATGCAGTTCGTAAAGTGAATCTTAAATTTCATTGTTTTAAAATACTCGAAGACAATGGTTTTGTTCGGAAATTTACGCATTACCTACCTATCCAAGAGCTTCGCTCAAAACATCTTTGTTGAAATATAATTATGACAATGAGACCGCGTGGGCCAAAAAAAATGTATAATCCGACTACAAATTATTTAATCTCAGATTTAATTAATTATCATAATAACAGCTGTAGGTATCTATCAGAAAATTTTAATAATAATTATTTCTCTCGGGGTAAACACAAACTGCATTATCTGGTTGATAGGAAGCTTGAGCTACGAGATAGCTTATCGAGTCAAAATTTTAACTGATTATGCATCGGAATGGTAATCATTTGTGAAGTAGGCTTTTTTTGTGAGGGGAAAATCATCGAATTATTTCTGCCTCCCAGGGCCGGGCGGGAGGTAGTGTCAGACTCTTACTGACTAAAAACCCTCTTATTCCTTCTCCTGCTCTGGGCCGAGGTCGCGATGCCTCATTGCGCTTACCCCGCAACCCCGGCTGTTGTGACGTAGGTTGGCAATACTGAACTTAACTGCAGGGGTCACATTGAATATTGGCTAACAAATTAGAACTTAGCACTTATGACCTACTTTGTGCAACCATTATCAGCAGATATTCAAAATTAAGAATTTGCATATTAATCAGATTGTTTTAAGTTCTCTATTAACGAAATGCGTTTTGAAACTGAATAGTTCCCTCACTACGCTGATGGATCTAGCGCTAACCGAAATGTAGAGACCAAGCATTTTGGATATGAAAGAACCATGCTTTGACACGAAACAACGCTTGCGATTTGTTTCGTCATGTTAGTGAAGAGTTCGAACCTGCATTAAGACTTATAGGAGCTGCAATGTGATGTTACCCTTTTTTTTGTCAGGGGAAAATCATCAAATGACTTCTCCCACCCAGGGAAGGCGAGAGAGAGTCTCAGACTCTTACTGAGTAAAAACCCCCCGTTCCTTCTCCTGCTATGAGCCGAGATTGCGGTGACTCATTGCGCTTAACCCGCAAACCCGGCTGAACATCAGCCCTATAGGGCCACGTGTGTGTTGGTCTATTGGCTCTTTAAGGCACGCTCGGAACGCTACGCGCCTTTTGCTCGGGTCTGGATCGGGCGGCGAGCAACCCTTACTCGCCGTCCGCAGACCAGCGCGTACTGCGGCGGCTGGGGCGCGAGGAGGATAGTTCCCTCAATGTGTTGTTACCCTACGATCATCTTTATTATGTCAAGTAAGTAATAGGTACCTTTTTTAAGAGGACCCAACTCAAGGATAGGTACTATAATCACACCCCATCCAAACAATAGACCTTATCTTTACGTGCAATGGATACTAGGAAGTTACAAAAATGATACCTATTATTTTTTTAGGATGTGTAGATGCCTAATGTAGTTATTTATTTCCATTAAGGAATCAATCAATACATATTAGTTAGTATCCTAGCTTTGTAGTTATCATAATAAGTATGAAGGTCCACTCTAGATTTCCACGAGAGTCTAAAGTCTAAGTCTGTCTGGTGCACTTCGCCTAACAATATTATAAGAAGTGTTTATTAACTATTACCCACTCTACTGACCCTTCCTACTTTACAGACAAAACATCAATGAATAGGTTACTAATTATATGTAGGTATCTATTTATTAATTTAATAAACATAACTAATTAATTATGTTCTAAAGATTTAGCTACAAATTATCGAACATTGTAAATATGTAGATAAGGAGTGAACTCAGCAATGATAAAGTTACTATCCGGAACTTTCTATCGCATTAAGATACATGCCATTACAGGCCCTAATATGGTAGGCATTAAATAGGTACCTATCTACTTCCTACTTTGTCAAAAGAGGTCCAATAGGACTGGTGTTCAGTTGGGGTTAGGGGTCAAGCGCATAATGTACCGCAGCCCTGGCCTGGAGCAGCAGATGGAGTAGTTTTTAGTTAGAAAGAGTCTGAATCTCCGTCTCGCCCCTTCAAGGGCGAAGAAGTAATATGTAATTATACTTAACCATTCAAAAAAAAGTAACGGCATACTTTGCAAACTTTGCTTTCTTTGTCCTTCAAAAATAGCACAACTAAACTCAATCCAGGCCTATTCTGCCTGCAGTCCAGATAGCCAGCTTTGGAATCCAACGTTCACATACCTATGACACGTCGTTGTTTCTGTGATTAATTTTGAAATAGATAAACCGAGGTCCAGTCCGAACCATTGATTTACCATGCAATTTGCAACGCTTCTAAAAGTCTAAATAGTCCTAGTTGGACACTTACACCATCAAGATTGATGTTTAGTTTATATCTAATCAATTTTACTAGGAGGGTGGATAGATACCTGGTTTTGAACCCAAAATTTGGACTCTGCCAAGTAAGGTAGGTAGGTATGTATTCTCATATTGGCGGTATTAGTATACTATACTACCTAACTGCATTAGGTACAAATGTCAAAAGCTGACATAGGTATTTGTTAATTGATCGAACTGTGATTATGATAAGCGGTGACTATCAATGTGTTGAGTTGGACGACCTTGTGGGGGACGTTACCGACGTACGTCGTACCTACCTAATCTTTCATCAAAATTGTCGTGCATTTTCAGTGCTTCGCATAGATAGATAGCTGCTAAATGTAACACAATACTTGGTGAAAGTATAGGTAAGGTTCTAGAATGATTTAAATAAAGGTCGTAAGTACTTACCTACTTATCTATCTATCCTATCTATGTCTTATAGGGTTTTTTTCGAGTCAGCCGAATCTACAGTTGCTCAACAGTAAGAGTAATTCGGATAGACAAGTCGCGTTAATTCAAGAGGTACCTATAACATAATACCTACCAGAACCTATTAGAAGTCTAGGTACTACTATTCAGTGTGCTACTATTCAGCAGTTGGTTTTCTATTGATGAAAGTTTTGAAGTAAAAAAGAAACTTAATTTTTATTTCATAATTTATTTAGGTCATCTATTTCTTGTCCTCTGTCTTACTCTCTCAAAGGTAAAGGAATCCCCTCGCCCCCGCTACCCCGAGTGATGTCCAAGCAAATGATTCTTAACTATGAAAGCTAACAATTAACTGTGTTGAACTAAGATAACTGAACTAACTCACTTCTACTAATAATAACTAACGTACTAAGATAAAATGGTGAGAATAATAAAAACGACGAAAATGTGTAGGTTATTGTTTATTTAAATTATTTGCTATCCTCGATATCATCAACATCGTTAACGGTAGTATCGTCCTCAGAGTTGGATTCACTTTCACTGCCACTGGGAGCCTGTAACAAATATCATTTTAAATGACTAAAGCAGCAATGCGATTCACTAACAGAATCATCATAGATGTTAACAACGACGCGTTCACGGATGTTTCATCGTAAATATCGCTTCTAAAAACAACGTTGATAAAAACCGTATTCGCTAAGCTACATAAGCTCGTCGATGATCTGCCGAACAACGATGATGAGTATGATGTTGGCAGTGTTGCTATGATTAATCTAGAGTATAACCGAGAAAATCTCGACTAACCTATGTTTAAGTTATTTCGTCATTTTAAATTAACACAAATGCACAAGACGTATCTACAAAACACGTTATATTTAATAAGCAACAAATGTTTAATTAATTATATCATTTTAGACTTGGAAAATAATTAATTTTGATTATAGCAATAAAACAAAACTAAATCTTTGACACTTTTATTTTTAGGTTATGTATTTCAAAACAAACAACTTGATCTTATCTTGAAAGTTTTTTATCAAATTACGAAATTCCAAAGTTCTAAGTGGTTTTAAGTGGCTGGTTTTAATACCAGTTTGTGGAACATGTATAGCAGTTTGTGGAACTACTATATAAGTAACCAAAATATTTAACTTTTAGTGTCTCGCAACGCATCTCCTTCGTTAGATCAGCTGGAAAAGCTAGTAACCTTTTTTGTATTCTCACATAATATTTTTTGGTAACTCCCATTAGCTAAAAATGCGAGAGTGCTTAAAGTGTAGAATGAGATAAGTTTTAGACATTTTTCACTATAAGTATAGTGATATAATAGTTGTAATAATAATAATATAAATTTAATTAATTTAGTTATACTTTAGTTCGTTTGCAGTTTCCTCCTTTACGTTTCGTCTTTGCTAAAAATAGTGAAATATCTTCTTCCAATTGTTTAATTGACTCTTCAGTCAACCTGAATACCTTAATAAATTCTGTATCAGTAGTAAGAAGATCCATGTTACGTATCACATGTGCCTGACTTCTATTTTCTACATTATCTCGACGCTTAAAAAAATCATACAGGAAAGACGAACTGCCATTTAAAACATTAATAATAGGCATTACAGTTTCACGAATTAAAATACGGTAAACAAAACAATACTAAGCATTTATAATTTAAAAAATAACTTGTTTTAATTACGTTTTAATTGTCTACAACCAAGGAAACATCTACAATTTACAAGCTTTACGCTTTGACAGGTAAAATCTAAGGCGAAGGCGCCGTTGTCGTTGAAGGCGAGGATGTTTTGTGTTTCTGAATACCGTTTTTCATACATTCGGAACCATATTTTAGTTCTATGTCGCGCCGTCGACATCGTTGTGGCGCTACGACCGCGCAGTTTTAACTAAGAATACCGATAAGTTTTCATCAGATGTTTCAACGATGATTTCTCGGTTGTAAAGATGTTTTGCCTTAGTGAATCGCACTCCAGGTACTTAACGGCCGTTGTATCTTGGCGAGTCTGAAGTTAGCCGAGTAGCTGCGCAATACACAATTTTGTTCCTAAAAGATCCATTGCGCAGACAAACGGCTAACTTCAGACTCGCCAAGATACGTCGGCAGTAATGTACAAGTCTTACTACACTATTATGTTAGTCAGTTCATAGCGAAGTTTTAAACCAAGCCGCTTTTCTCTGGATCTGTATCTATCTATCTAATGAAAGTCTCTTCTCCTATGGAAGCAATATGATAATTTGCAAAAAGTGAGGAAGTAAAGCATGCTCTTAAGTCTAACGGGCCAACTTGATAATCAAGCTTAAACCACAATTTTAGAATATCTGCCCAAATAGATACAGAGATTATTTATTTATATATTATATTTATTTATTTATTAAAGTTAAAAAAATCTGTAAAGGGGGAATAATTCCTTAGGAATTTTCTCTTAGTCGACCTTTATTTAGTGCGAGTTGAAAGTATAATTATTATGGATCACCCTCCGCCACCACACCTTTACCCAATTATTCATTCAGGGGCGTATTTTTTTACACGTATACATAGATTATTTTCTTTGTTCTCACATTAAGGTTGATCAACACTAAGTATCAAATAGTTATCTACATATGTATAGAATTAATTATAGATATGTACCTATATATAATTGTAGGTAAAATTATCAATTTCGTAAGCAACTAGATATGGGTGTGTATACGACATAGGTATGTATTTAATCCTGAGGTTATCTAAGGATGTAGGTAGGTATGTATATAATGTATAGTATAAGTATTATCGGGTATTGCTATGCCACAATCAAAAGTTGATCAAATCTAATGTTTAAAGGTTATAGAGATGGTAGATACGTCTCATTAATGTATGACTATGAATATTAATAAAGGCTTTAGGTGTAGGTACAAGTTTTTACTTTTTTATTAGGTACCTACAAAGCAGTTTATTTGATATGATTTGAGTGTGGAAAAAATAAGCTTGGGTGGGCTCGACAGAAGTGATATCACGTCTTCATAGAAAACCGTCATGAAATAACCACAGCATTGTGTTTCACCGTATGTGAGGGTAACTAGAGGCCAAATCTTTTCCCTCCCCCAATCTCCCCAAATCCTAAATCTCCAAAACCCTAATCCCCAAAAGGCCGGCAACGCACTCGTAACTCCTCCAGTGTCTATGGGCGACGGCGATTGCTTATGATCAGGTAATCCACCTGCTAGTTTGCCGTTCTAAGGCTTATTTGGTCACAGTGAATATCATAATATTATCATCGTTTCATTCCAGGGCTAGAATTTGTTAATTAATTAATATTATTGCATATTAACGGTAAGTAGATATCAATCCCAAACAATTTCAGACTATGTTCAGTGGTAGACTAGGACTGCAGAAATTACCTATTGGAAATTGATGAAACCTGAGCAATCTGAGAATAACAAACTTTATTAGATTCTCACGTCCAAGAATCTCTCACTCAAGAATAGACAGGTTAAAAACTACTGAGATCTCTTATCTGTAGTAATTTTACTAAACTAATTACGTAAGTAAACCAACAAAAAATCAATGTCGCGTATAATAGAATAACAACGTTTGGCACCACCAATTGCAGCCATAGAGGATTTTATTGACTATCCTATAAAAAAAAATCTTATTACATACCTCATACTTCATCTCGGGGTTATTGCTATTGAAAAGCGTATCCTTGACGTATCGGAACATGTGATCGCGGCAGATCTCGTCCGTATTAGCCGGGAGCCAGCCTCGCTTCAGGTGGCACATGTAACCCGGCGGCGGCTCCGCTGCAAGGATCTCTTCCACTTCTGGTATTTGGATGTCGCAGTACTAAGGAAATAAATTGCATGCAATTACAATAAAATAAAGTCATACCTAACAGTCAACCAACCTTTTACTTTCAACTTTACTAATTATCGCCTAAGTAAAACAGAGGGTTTAGTTCAAACACTCATCAACTTGGTATACATGTGTGGCGACCATCAGGTACTATAATAAACAAGCAGCACAAGTCAGTTCCTACCATATATATTTTTTTCATTTCTACCTATTTATCCCCTAAAAGAATTAGTTCAATTTTTGTTACCTATTTGTATATTAAAGACAGCTTTAAAGTCCCATAAAAACTGTGTACTTACCTTAATAAAATATTCACACTACCTATACAAATTGCAAAGCAAAAGCAATAACACAGTAAACAATTTTCCTGCTTACCTGGTAGAATATATGCCGCTGTGTGGGTGTGATTCCTGGTCGGAAGTACACAGTTCCCTCTGCAATTTCCTCGTTCACTGGCGCAGTCTCCGTGAACTTCCTCTTCGGCTGTCGTTCGCGGTCCGTCGTATCTTCACGAGACATTATCATGGACCTCACGCCGGCTAAGGAAACAAAAAGAGGCCATAGTTTATGCAATATTGAATTGTCATTGTGAGGGAAAAGTTGTTAGCCATTGTATAAATAATGAAACCTTTTCTTACCTGCATGTCTTAACCTGAAGTCCAATGTCTGATATTTCCTAGAGCTAGGATCTTTTCTTGGATCATACCCATACCGCACCCACATTGACCTCCAAGGGCCAGTCTTCATGTACACAGCAAGACAAGGCATAATCACCTTCAGAGAAACCAGCCTCAACTTTGTATGATATCTTATTAAATTTAGCGACCATATTGGTCTCTCTTCAAGAAGCTAAAACAAAATTTTCAATTTAAATATTATGTTACATAAACTGTGTATGGAAGATGTTGTGTTTCACCATGTGAGTGAGTTTACCGGATGCCCAATCCCTCGCCCTCTCCCAATCCTTAAAAATCGCGCACACTCCTTTTTGTTGCAGGTGATTGCTTACCATCAGGTAATCCACCAGCTCATTTGCCAACCTGTCCCATAAAAAAAATGTTGAATGGAAAGGGAGCAAAAATGTTATTGCGTGTTCTTATAACAAACTCGAATTTTGTGTCTCCTAGTATATTTAAGAGTTGGCAGGAACAAAACAGTTTTAATAAGACATCAGAGGTACCTTTTTAACAATTTCAAACTCCTGATTTAATGTTGGCTGGCACTCAAGTCTCTGTTCTCTCTGTTTCAAATAGAATTCATGTGGTTCAGTCGGCAAGTCATCAATCAAATTAAATATATATGGGGTCACTTGAGTTCCTCTTAAACTTCTAATTTTGTTGTGAACACTTTCTCTATCTCGATCTGGAGAAGCACGTTCTGGGTATTTTTTATCAGTATAGGCATAGCCAATTGGCCTCTCAAATCTAGTGAAGCTTGCGGGAATTAAAAATAATGGAGCAGGTTGGCTGAAATTAAGACAGCAGTTTATAAGTTTAAACATGAATTATTAAATTTGCAGTTGTTTGTTTTGAGTAAAATAATACTAAGCCATTCAACATTTGACCAACAAGTTTCCCAAAATAAAAATAATATTTGAAAATTTTACTTACAGCATGAAATCTAATGTGTCTGTACCACAAGGTAAATAATTTTCTAGATCACAAGTCATAGGGCCATCACTAGACTCTCTGTGTACTGGCAAATATTGGAAGTCACACATTGCTGAAAATACACATAAATTTGAAATACCTATTTTGTAACAAATAGATTAATGTTTACAGCAAATAGTATACATATACTAACATTCAAACCTGAACATGGTTTTAACACATCCAACTACAGTTGTTGAGATAACTTCCCTCTTTATTACATCGCCTTCCCTCACTTTCTTCACTTTAACTTTCATTAGTACTCCGGCTGCTCTCTTGGAAGCACCAAATATCTTTCTTACAAATGGATTTTCTGGTTGAAAAGATAACCCCAGACGCTTTCTCCCAGCACTGCTATAAACCTGAAAATGTGTGGTTAAAACGAATGAGGCTTCAGGCAATTCATTATATAATTTTTTGAGGTTTCTCCAATGTATACTTTCAGCAGTCTGACATTACACCCTATCGGATAGTGTGTGGTAATTTAACATTAAATTCGTGAAAATAACTCTCCACTCAACAGTCGGGTAACAAATCATTCAACATCAACATCAACATCAAAGGGGAATGATCAAAAATTATATATTGAAAAATAAATAAACGTGAAATTTACATTTGAAATGTTCCTTATTCCGCCCAAGCAAGCAATAGCTTTGTCGTCGTTTTTGACAATTCCAGGGAACAGCAATCCAACTAATTCGCGATCCAAATTGTTACGTTCCATATTTATTGGTTTTCTCTTACCAAATTAATTAAACATTTACTTTTCTGATACCTATAGAGAAGCACATGTATGTGTATTGTTTTGTTGACAAATTTGACATTGTCAAATGTGTCAGCTGTTTGCTTGTTGCGTTCCAGTATTAGAAAACTTGTATGTAGTGTATTTTTAGCTTGTTCTTCGTCTATTGACCCAACTTCTTTTTTATTTCATTTTACTTATGTAGCCATACTGAGCAAAGACGTCTTTTCACAAGTAAAAGTATAGGTGAATTCAAACTACAATTATTATTAGGTTTGGAATCGTCTATAGTAAAAAATTATAAGTCAGGTCAAAGTCAGGTTTCCTTACAATTGGCCTGGGTTGAATGTGCAAGCGCCATAATAATGTACCGCGGCCCCGGCCCGACACATGGAAAAGAAAGTGGTGGTTTTTTGTCAGTACATAAGATTCAAAAGTTCCCTCCTGCCCCAGCCAGGTCGGGAAGTTATTTGATGAGTTACTTCCACAAATTAGAAAAAGTTTACTTCCAATGTTTAAAGTTACATTAGTACTTACAGCTTGCCATTCACCATTCACTTACTTATTTCTTCCTTTTAATATTTTAAGTTAATCAGTTTTGATGTGCCCAATGATCGATAAGGATAGCTAAGTAGAAGCCATACATTTCTTAACATATTAGTCACATTGGCTCAAAAAAGTTAAGTAGGTAGGAGAAAAGGCATTTTGGTTTTTAAAGTTTTAAAAGTAAAAACATCATGTAACTAATATAAATATTTAATATCACAAACTTAGTCTACACTAATTGCTCAATGTGTAATTCTTATTGCAGTCCATAATTATTATTCGAGTATAAAAATATAGTTTTGCTTATCCTATATTATTATCGATGCGCCACAGCCTCCACAGCTACCAAAAGCCTGAAAATATACAATAAAATGTAAAGTAGTATATAAGTGACTAGCTACTCTCGCGCGGTTTTACCCGCTGCTCGCCTCCATTTAATTGTAGCGTGATGTTTTATAGCCTATAGCACTACAGGAAGATTGTAGCTATCTATCAGTGAAAGAATTTTGGAAATCCGTCTAGCGGTTCTAAAGATTACCCCCTACATACCAACTTACAAACATACAAACTTACAAATCTTACCTCTTTATAATATTAGCATAGATATGATTTAGTAATAAATCTTGAATTTTAATATTTAGTGTATTACTTTTTCCATTTTAGAAGACTAAATCATGAGTGCAGTCCCTATCACAATTTTCTGTTAGAATGTGAGATAAGACCTGATAAATAATAAAGAAATTTCATTCCTACTTACTTCTCTAGCAGAACATTTCTTTGTCTTTCAATCTCAAGCCTGTCTTTTTCCATTTTGAGTCTTATATTGTTACACCTTTTCTTTTCTAAAAGTTTCTGTTTCTCTATTCTAATTCTTTCCTCTTCTAAGTTCAGAAGTCTATCATGTACAAGTCCTTGAAAAAATAAGTACTTTAGAACTTTATTCTAATTAATATTTCAATGAAGAACAGAAAACAATAATAAATACTGACTGACTGGTCTTCCTCGCTTCCATAATGGTTTCCCTGTGACTGGTGCTGAAGACACTTCATTAGGTCCCATACCAGCATCAGGATCAGTAACCACTCCATCACCAAGACTCATTTCTATATCTGCTGGCGTAAAGTGCTGAGAGTCTGATGGCCATTTCTGTAAAGATTTCATTTTGTTTTTACTTAAACTCATATTGAAGATTAATGGCCCAATATTTAAATGCTTCTTCTAGAACTATCAGTATAATGGAATTAGTGTGTTGGAGAATATTACCATATTACTAGTGGAAGGATCAGCACCACACATATCATCTGTGGGTCCAGTACTTTGAGTTGGTGCCTAAAAAGTAAATTAGCTTTATAAACTGAATATTCATTACACAAAATCTTATTAAGTTTCTAAAATAACGTTTTATAACCATAGTGTTGACTGCTGAAGTTTCTGGTACTCCTGAAAGACCAAAAACCGATGTGTTTGTGCAGATAAGTCTTAGTATTTTTTCCTCAGCTTCAGTAAGTTGAGTGTTTGCATTACAGCCAGGAGTAAATCTGTTTTTCCTTATCTTAAATGCCTTTTTCTTGACATTCGATTTCCAATCTCTCCAGGTCTAAAAACGTGAGTATTCATTTATTTTCAAGAATGTATACGATTGATTTATATAAAAATAATAGAAGTATTGAAATGATTCCGACCTGTTGCCATTTATCAGGTGTTTTTATTGCACCTGAACCAAACCCGGAATTTGTATTAAGTTTTTCAGTAATTGTAATCCACGCATTCGTTTGACGAATTCTTCCTTCTAAACCTGTGAATTTACCTATTGCTAATTCCTTGTCTTCTTCCAGAAAATGTAAAAGCATGTTTAACTGCTCTGGACTAGCTTTCCGTCTTTCCATTGTCGTGATAATAAGTTATTTATTGTGGAATAATACAACAGGGCCTGTAAAAGAGAACTTTCTCTTATAGATAGTCTTTTTATTAACTAAATATACAAATTTTCTGTTATAAAACAAAAGTAATTTGAGAAATAAACAATTTGTTGTTGCCGTAATACAAGTTTGTTTTTTGTTTAGATGTCACGAAGTGTCGATCGACTTGTCAAAAATTTTATCCTGTTCCACGAAAAAGTATATCCAAATTGTCATTGGCACTTTCATCATACTGATAGAAACCCCAAAGACCTTGTCTCCATGTCATATTGAGGTGGAAAAGAAACTGTCAGTCAGAGTTGTCTATGATCTCAAGTTCTACAGTTTTGTTTGTTTTTGTAAATATTAATATTTGTTTCCGTCTATGTATGAATAACTAAAACAGTTAGAAATTCGTATGATAAGAGACACTACATAGACCATAAAATATATCTTGAAAATTATAATCGCTTTTTTCAGTATTGAATTTTTAATATTTCTTATGAAAAATGAATACGATTTTGAAATTAAAAATGTTAAGAGGTAGTGCTCACAAGGAAAGGATCGCTCGAAGGCATCTAACAGATTTGTCTGATTGTGTGAACTTACCTGACTCTTATTTACTAAAAAATTGTGGTGTGAATAGGATTGTATTCCATAATATTCTGAGATTACTGGAACCTGTTGTTCCCAAAACTCAGAGATCCAATGGAATACCTTTCCCTTTGAAGGTACCTAGTTAAGTTGCATACGATTTGTCATTAGTGCATAGTCTAGAGTTCTAGACCTAGCTGTATACAAAGCTTCTTGGAACATACTTTCTATGTTTGATAACTACTGTATATTATATAAAAATCCTAGGTTTTGGTAACCCTGTCCTTCTTAGCCAGTGGCTCACATCAGAAGTCTGTTGGCAAAGACTTCAGTATCAATATATCACAGAAATCTGTTAGCCGAGTTATCAAGATCGTGGTTGAAGGCCTCAATATGGTACTTGATAATTGCATCATATTTCCCAGTACTGTTATGCAAAGAGATCAAATCAAAGAAGGGTAATCACATCATAATAATCATTTACAGTCATAAATGAATTAAAATGAACCTTTACTATTAAACTGCATGGAATTTACAGGTTTTACAGAAAATATCATTTTCCTGAAACCATCGGTTGTATAGATGGAACTTATGTCGAAATTGTATGTCCCAGAGATGATGAAGAGGCATTCTATGACAGAAAAGGTCAATACTCAATACATGCACAAATTGTAAGAAGACTCATTTATATTTCTCATCCAATAATTTTTTTTTGCCATATGTTGTTTTTGTTCTTTATTTTATTTATTCTATTTCAGATGTGTGATGCAGATACTAAAATAATAGCAATATGCTGCAGGTTTGGTGGATCAGCTAGTTGTGCATATATTTGGAATAAAATGAACATTAGACCTTTTGTTGAAAGTATCAGCAGACAGGGAGAGATGAGTTGGCTCATTGGTATGTTTCAATAACTCTAAATTAATAATTCTCAATTGTTTTAAATACTTCAACATTTCATTTCATTTTTCAGCTGATAACAAGTACCCACAAAGAGCCTGGCTAATGACTCCAATACTACATGCTCCTCAAGGAACACCTGACTCCCAGTACAATCATTTTCAAGGCAGAACTAGGACTTGTATAGAGAGATGCATAGCCAAACTTAAAGGAAGGTGGCAATGTCTTCACAAGAGACCCTTACATTATACACCTGAGCAAGCAGCAAAAATAATAAATGCCTGTGCTGTGTTACATAATCTTTGCACCAGGGCAGGCTTGCCTGATCCCCAGCCCTTTGTGGATCAAGAACCAATGCCAGTTATAAATGAAGTCACAGAGATGCCAGAGGATAATGTTAATGACTTGTATATTGGTATAGAAGTGAGGAGGCAACTGGCTGAAAGGATCTACTACAGCGTGTAGTGTAAGACTGATTTTAAAATATTTAGCATAAGTGACAGTATACAATGTTTTTATATTTGCTATTTATATTGTTCCGCCTAAATTTTGTATAGTCTTAATAAAATACAGTACTTTTAATTAAAAATAATATGTAATCAAAAAGACTTTTAGTAAATTTAGTAATATTAATGCATCAGTATCTGCATCTGCGCTAACTGGCTGTAGGTGTCGCCTGGCATTCTGTATGCAATGTTGCCAGCAAAAGTGTTTAGTACTTCAGCTTGTTCACGCAGCCATTCCACTTGCTAAAAACCACAAAGCACAATATTAATATTCATATCATGAGACACTGTTTTTTACTTCACTAAAATTAGGGGAAATTAAGTTGGCTCTCACCTTGTTGTTCTGTGACGCAAGTGGTTGCGCTTGAGCTGCTGTGCGTAACTTTTGGCGTTGCGCTAGAAGAATAGTGCAGAGGGCTCGCAGTACAGCAGGCAAGCTACGCAAGAGCTCACCACGTGCCGTGCGCGCAGCCGATACGCGAGCGTCTAGCTCACTCGCATTCAATGGCACTAATTCACAATCACGAAGGGTCTGCAAAAAAAAACTCATATATTTAAAACTGAATACCTTTAAGGTATAAGAGTAAGTTTCTTTAATATTATCATT